CTGTCCCAAAATGATCCCAAACCTCAGTGATCCATCTTGGGGTGACGATGGGGACCCCCTGGCCAGGGCACAGGAGGAACTTGAGGGTCCTGTAGCCCCCAAAGTGTCCCCAAATCCCCCAATGACCCCTAATTGTCCCCAAATCCCCCCAAAGTGACCCCAAATCCCCCAAAGTGACCCCAAATGACCCTAGAATCCCCCAAATTTCCCTAAATCCCCTAAATCCCCCAAACCTCAGTGATCCACCGTAAGGTGACGATGGGGACCCCCCTGGCCAGGGCACAGAGGAACTTGAGGGTCCTGTGAGCCCCCCAAAGTGACCCCAAATGACCCCAAAATGACCCCAAATCCCCAAAATGACCCCAAATCCCCCAAAGTGTCCCAAAATGATCCCAAATCCTCCCAAAATGATCCCCAAATGCCCTCAATCCCCCAAAATGATCCCCAATCCCCAAATCCCTCCCAGGCGTCCAAATCCCCCAAAATGACCCCAAATCCCCCAAAGTGACCCCAACTCCCCAAAATGATCCCCAAATCACCCCAAATCCCCAAAGTGACCCCAAATCCCCTGACCTGCAGTGATCCACCGTGGGTGACGATGGGAGACGCCCTGGCCAGGAACAGAGGAACTTAGGGTCCTGAGCCTCAGAGACTCAAAATGACCCCAAATCCCCCTAAACTGACCCCAAATGTCCTAAACTGTCCCCAAATGACCCCAAATCCCCCAATCCCCCAAAATGATCCCAAATCCCCAAATCCCTCCCAAAGTGTCCCCAAATCCCCCCAAATCCCCTCAAATCCCCCCAAAGTGTCCCCAAATCCCCCAAATCCCCAATGACCCCAAATCTTCCTAAAATGATCCCAAACTGTCCCAAATGACCCTAAATCCCCCAAACCCCCCCAAAGTGTCCCCAAATCCCCCCAAAGTGACCCCAAATCCCCCCAAATCCCCCCAAACCTCGGTGATCCATCTTGGGGTGACGATGGGGACCCCCCTGGCCAGGGCACAGAGGAATTTGAGGGTCCTGTGAGCCCCCCGGGCCACCAGGTGGGTGCAGTCCCGGGCCCCGAGGCCACGAGCCCCCAGGGACCCAGGGCCAGCAGCAGGGACCCCGAGGCCACCACGCCCGTGAACAGCACCTGGGGATCAGAAAATCACATTTTTGGGACATTTTGGGGGGATTTGAGGGGATTTGGGGACATTTGGGGTCACTTGGGGGATTTGGGGACACTTTGGGGGATTTAGGTCACTTTGGGGGATTTGGGGACACTTTGGGGGATTTGGGGAGGTTGAGGACACTTTGAGATCACTCTGGGGACACTTTGGGGGATTTGGGACATTTGGGGTCATTTTGGGGGGATTTGGGGGCATTTTGGGAGGATTTGGGGGATTTGGGGACACTTTGGGGTCACTTTGGGGATTTAGGGTCACTCATGGGGAATTTTGGGGACATTTTGGGGGATCTGAGGTCACTTTGGGGGTTTGGGGACACTTTGGGGGATTTGGGGACATTTGGGATCATTTTAGGGACATTTTGGGGACATTGAGGGAGATTTGGGGGGATTTGGGGGGGTTTGGGGACACTTTGGGGACAAAAAGGAACAATTTGGGACACTTTGGGGACATTTGGGGACACTTTGGGAGGATTTGGGGACACTTTGAGGAGATTTGGGAACATTTGGTGTCAGTTTGGGGTCATTTGGGGTCATTTTGGGGATTTGGGGTCACTTTGGGGATTTGGGGTCATTTGGGGATTTGGGGGTCATTTTGGGGATTTGGGGTCACTTGGGGATTTGGGGACACTTTGGGGTATTTGGGGACACTTTGGGGGTTTGGGGACATTTTAGGGGATTTGGGGTCATTTGGGGATTTGGGGTCATTTGGGGGATTTGGGGTCACTTGGGGGGTTTGGGGTCATTTTGGGGATTTGGGGTCATTTTGGGGACATTTGGGAGATTTGGGGTCATTTTGGGGATTTGGGGACACTTTGGGTGGATTTGGGGACACTCTGAATGGATTTGGGGTCACTTTGGGGGATTTGGGGTCACTTTGGGGATTTGGGGACACTTTGGGGATTTGGGGACACTTTGGGGGATTTGGGGACACTTTGGGGATTTGGGGTCACTTTGGGGGATTTAGGGAACATTTGGGGTCATTTTGGGGGCATCTGGGGTCATTGAGGGGGTATTGGGGTCACTTTGGGGGGATTTGGGGACACTTTGGGGTCATTTTGAGGGGATTTGGGATCATTTTGAGGGGATTTGGGGACACTTTGGGGTCATTTTGGGGGGATTTGGGGTCATTTGGGGTCACTTTGGGGGTTTGGGGACACTTTGGGGATTTGGGGACAAAAGGACAATTTGGGGTCATTTTGGGGATTGGGGACACTTTGGGGATTTGGGGTCACTTTGGGGATTTGGGGACACTTTGGGGATTTGGGGACACTTTGGGGGGATTTGGGGACAAAAAAGGACAATTTGGGGTCATTTTGGGGGGATTTGGGGACACTTTGGGGGGATTTGGGGTCACTTTGGGGGGATTTGGGGTCACTTTGGGGGGATTTGGGGTCACTGGGATGAACTGGGAGGTCACTGGGAGGTTACTGGGACGAACTGAGGGGTCACTGGTCCATACTGGGATGAACTGGGAGGTCACTGGGATGGACTGGGGGGTTACTGGAGGGTCACTGGTCCATACTGGTCCATACTGGGATGAACTGGGAGGTCACTGGGGGGGCTACTGGTCCATACTGGGCCATACAGGGACACACTGGGAGGTCACTGGGATGAACTGGGGGGGTCACTGGTCCATACTGGGATGAACTGGGACACACTGGGGGCTCACTAGGACGTCACTGGGGGGGCTTCTGGTCCATACTGGTCCATACTGGGATGAACTGGGACACACTGGGAGGTCACTAGGGGGTCACTGGTCCATACTGGTCCACACTGGGATGAACTGGGACACACTGGGGCCTCACTGGGATGAACTGGGGGGTTCACTAATCCATACTGGGATGAACTGGGGGGGTCACTGGTCCATACTGGGATGAACTGGGAGATCATTGAGGGGGTTACTAGTCCATACTGGGATGAACTGGGAGATCATTGAGGGGGTTACTAGTCCATACTGGGATGAACTGGGAGATCACTGGGGGAGTTACTGGTCCATACTGGTCCATACTGGGATGAACTGGGATGAACTGGGACACACTGAGGGATCACTGGGATGAACTGGGGGGGTCACTGGCCCATACTGGTCCATACTGGAACACACTGGGAGGTCACTGGGATGAACTGGAGGTCACTGGGGGGGTTACTGGTCCATACTGGGATGAACTGGGACACACTGGGAGGTCACTGGGAGGTCACTGAGGGGTCACTGGTCCATACTGGGATGAACTGGGACACACTGGGGGCTCACTGGGAGGTCACTGGGGGGGTCACTGGTCCATACTGGTCTATACTGGTCCATACTGGGATGAACTGGGACACACTGGGAGGTCACTGGGAGGGTCACTGGTACATACTGGTCCATACTGGGATGAACCTGGACACACTGGAAGGTCACTGGGGGGATTACTGGTCCATACTGGGCCATACTGGGATGAACTGGGACACACTGGGGGCTCACTGGGGGACTACTAGTCCATACTAGTCCATACTGGTCCATACTGGTCCATACTGGTCCCTTACCCTCACGTGGGCGTGGTCTTTGGCCGCGCGGGGGCGGAGCCTGCGCCGGGCGCCCCCTGCTGGCCCCGCCCCTTCCTCCTCCTCAGGCTCCGCCCCCTCCTCTTCAGGCTCCGCCCCCTCCTCTTCAGGCTCCGCCCCCTCCTCTTCAGGCTCCGCCCCCTCCTCTTCAGGCTCTGCCCCCTCCTCTTCAGGCTCCTCCTCCTGTGGGCGGAGCCAAAAGTTGAGACCACGCCCCCTCCCTGAAGCCCCTCCCACCTCATTTGCATACGAAGACCCCGCCCCCACCTGGAGCTTCCTCTTCTTGGGTGGGCGTGGCTTGGGGGTGGGTTGGCCACGCCCCTTTTTAGAGGGGGTGGGGTCAGCGGAGGCTCCGCCCCCTCGGGGCCTCCCGGCCAATCGGAGGCTGCGACGCAACTGGAGGGGGGAGGGGGGAAAAAAAACCTCTCAAAATTAATCTCAGACCCCCCAAAAAACCCTCCCAGGGACCCCAAAATCTCCCCAAAATCAACCCAAAATCAACCCAAAAATTGTCCAAAAATTCCCCCAAATTTGACCCAAAATCCCCTAAAAAATCTCCCAAAAAAACCCAAAATCCCTCAAAAACCTCCCTAAAAATCTCTCCAAAAATTCACCCCGAATCCTCCAAAAGTCTCCCAGCAAATTCCCCAAAAATCCCCCCAAAATCCCCCCAAAAATCACTGAAATCCCCCCCAAAATCACTCAAATCTCCCCAAAAATCTCCCCCAAAATCCCCCAAAAATCTTCCCAAAAATCCCCCCAAAATCTCCCAAAAACTCCCCCAAAATCTCCCCAAACCCTCCCCAAAATCCCCCCAAAATCTCCCCATACTCGCCCCCAAAAATCTCCCCAAAATCCCCCCCAAAAATCTCCCTAAAAATCTCCCCAAAATCCCCCCAAATTCTCCTCAAAAATGTTCTCAGATTCTCTCTCGAAATTCACCCCAAATCTCCCCAAAATCCCCCCCAAAAAATCTCCCCAAATCTCCCCCAAAATTCCCAAAATTCCCCCCAAAACTCCCCCAAAATCCCCCAAAAATCTCCCCAAATTCCTCCTAAAAATCCCCCAAAAATCTCCGGAAATTCTCTCTAAAAATCCCCCCAAAAATCCCCAAAAATCTCCTCAAAAATCTCCCCCAAATTCCTCCAAAATCTCCCCAAATCCCTCAAAATTCCCCAAATCCTCAAAATCTCCCCAAATTCCTCCTAAAAATGCCCCAAAAATCTCCCCAAAAATCCACCCAAAAGCCCCCAAAAGCTCCCCAAATCTTCCCAAAATCCCCCCAAAAATCCCCCAAAATCACCCTAAAAATCTTCAAAATCCCCCAAAATGTCCCCAAAATCTCCCAAAATCCCCCAAAATCTCCCCAAAATCTCCTCAAAATTCCCCTAAAATTCCCCAAAATCACCCTAAAATCTCACCCAAAATCTCCCCAAATCCCCCAAAATTTCCCCCAAATTTCCTCCAAAATCTCCCACAAATTCCTCCTAAAAATCCTCCAAAAATCCCCCCAAAATCTTCCCCAAAATCCCCCAAAATCCCCCCCAAAAATCCCCCAAAAATCTCCCTCAAAACATCCCCAAAAATCTCCCAAATCTCCCCAAAATCTCCCAAAATCTCCCCAAATCCCTCAAAATCCTCCAAAATTCCCAAATTTCCCCAAAATCCCCCAAAATCCCCCTAAAACTCCCCAAACCCCTAAAATCCCCCAAAATCCCTCCAGAAATCCCCCAAAATTCCTAAATTCCTCAAAATCTCCCAAAATCTCCCAAAACTCCCTCAAAATCCCCCAAAATCTCACAAATCCTCTCAAAATCTGCCCCAAAATCTCCCCAAATCTCCCAAAATCCCCAAAATCACCCTAAAATCTTCACAAATCCCCCAAATTCCTCCTAAAAATCCCAAAGATCTCCCAAAATCTTCAAAAATCCCCCAAAAACCCCCAAAATCCCCACATTCCCCCAAAATCCTCTCAAAATCTCCCCAAATCCTCCCCAAAACTCCCAAAATTTCTCCCAAAAATCCACTCAAAATCCCAAAAATCCCAAAATCTCCCCAAAAATCTCCCTAAAAATCTCCCCCAAAATCCACCTAAAATCTTCCCCAATTGCCCTCAAAATCCCCCAAAATCTTCCCCAAATCAGCCAAAAATCCCCCAAAAATCCTGCAAAAAATCTCCCCAAAATCCCCTAAAAATCTCTCCCAATTTCCCCCAAAATCTCCCCCAAATTCCCCCTAAAAATGCCCAAAATCTCCCCAAAACTCCCCCAAAATCCCCTCAAAATCTCCCCCCGAAAATCACCCAAATCTCCACAAAATCCCCCCCAAAATCTGCACAAAAATCACCCAAATCCACCCAAATTCCCCCCCAAAATCCACTCAAAATCACTCCAAAATTCCCCCAAATCTCCCAAAACTCCCTCTAAATCCCCCCAAATTCCAGCCAAAAATTTCACAAAAATCTCCTCAAAAATCCCCCCAAAATTCCCCAAAATCACCTAAATCCCCCAAAAATTCCCCAAATCCTCAAAATCTTCCCCAAATCCTCCCCAAAAATCCCCCCAAAATCTCCCAGAATCCCCAAATCTTCCCAAAATCTCCCCCCAAAATCTCCCTAAAAATCTCTCCAAAATCTCACAAAAACTCCCCCAAAATCACCCCAAAATCTCCAAAAAATCCCCCCAAATTCCCCCCAAAATCTCCCCAAAATCCTCCCAAATTCCCCAAAATCTCCCCAAAATCTCCCAAAACTCCCCTAAAATCCGTTCAAACTCCCCAAAATCCCCCAAATTCCCTAAAATCTCCCAAAATCCCCAAAAATCACCCAAAAACTCCCCCAAAATCCCCCCAAAAAATCTTCCAAAAACCCCCCAAAATCTCCACCAAATCTCCCCAAATTCCCCCCAAATCCCCCCCAAAAATCCCCCCAAAATCCCCCTGAAAACCTTCACAACTCCCCCCAAAATGTCCCCAAAAAGCTTCCCAAAATCAACCAAAAATCCCTCCAGAATCCTCCCCACATTCCCCCCAAAAAATCCCACCTCTGGATTTGGGGTCACATCTGGAATTCCCGGGGGTTTTGGGGCCCTCCTGGGCCTTTTTTTAGGGGGGGGAGCAACATCTGGATCTTCTCTCGGGGGTTGTGGGTCCAAAACATCTGGATTTGAAGGCTCTGGGGCCACATCTGGAATTCCAGGGGGTTTTGGGGTCCTTCTGGGTCTTTTTGAGGGTGGGGAAACATCTGGATCTTCCTCTGGTCTTTCCTCCTGCACATCTGGATTTGAGAGTTTTGGGGCCACATCTGGAGCTCTGGATGGGCCTGGGGGTCCCAAAACATCTGGATTGGAAGGTTTTAGGCTCACATCTGGAATTCCTGGGGATTTTGGGGACATTTTTGGTCTTTTTGGGGGTGGACAAACATCTGCATCCTCTTCTTTTCCTTCCACATCTGGCTGAGGGGGCAGGAACAGCTGGGTGGCCACATCTGCATCCTCCTCCTCCTCTTCTGGGGGTTTGGGTCCCAAAACATCTGGATTGGGGGGCTCTGGGTTCACATCTGGAATTCCTGGGGATTTTGGGGTCCTTTTGGGTCTTTTTGGGGGTGGAGAAACATCTGGATCTTCCTCTGGTCTTTCCTCTTGCACATCTGGATTTGAGAGCTCT